GACAACAAGGGACAATTTTATATAATATGTCTATATTCGAATTTATCAAAATGACAAAAAAAATGACAACAAATATTATTTCCACTGTAATTTCATTACTTAAATAATAATTGAAAATACGAAAAATTGAATATTAAATTTTTAAACAATAATTCATTCCGAAAGAATATGTTGTAATTAAATTCAGCTGTAATTAAATTCAATTTTAAAAGTTATATAAAAATTAAACTGTCTTTTTTTCAATTAATTTTGAACTGCAAGTGGTAAAAAAAAGATGATGATTATCCCATATTCTTATTAATGCATAATCAAATAAAAAATATTACCGTACCACCACCATATGGGTTACTGTATAATATGAAGAATAAAGCGATGAAAAAGATTTAACTTGGAAATATTCAATTGCAATATTGCTCACAAATCAGTATGCTCTGTCATAATTAAATTATTATGAGGAGTAATTAGAAGTTATAATTTTATCATTAGAAAAATGTTTGTGTTTTTCTTTTTTTTTTACGTACCGTAGTTTGTTGTATTAAAATAACTTATTGCTAACAATAATATTGTAACGCAATGCAAATTAATGTAAATTTTTATTTCATCTAATAGATTTACTAAAATACTAATTAATTCAGCTATGCTTAATTAATTAATTAATAACAAATTCCCTTAGCGACTTAACTTTTAGACCTTTTATTTGCTGCAAATTTTAAGTAAAATTTATTTTTTAAAAATCAATAGATTTTTGCTCATTCAATATGTACTTTATGTGATGTACATGAAATTGCTATCGTAATCAATAAAATATGAATTAGGCTTCATTTTGATAACTTCTAATACGAAACGATGTGATACTACCGTAACACTGTTAGATGTGATGTTGTATCATTTGACAAAATTAACGACATTAACAATTTCCTACAGTAACAAATAATTTTTAGAGAAAAATTTATTGCTGCATTTTTGATTTAGCATTTGATGAAATACCAAAAGCGTAAGATTAAAGAAGTGAAAAGAAAAAAAACACAAAAAAAGTTATAAAAATTGATTTGCAATTGCTCTTTTCGTTTTTTTTTTTTCGTAAAATGACTACAAAAATTAATTTACATTTATTATATTTAGATCTAAAATATTATTTGTTAAATGTTAAGCTCAACATTTTAAGTTAATTGGAATAAAAGTTTAAAATTAATTGAAAAGAATTGAAATTAAACAATGGGTAAAAATTAAGTTACATTTATTTTATTTTAATTGAAATAGACATTAATTAAGTTACAATGTGTGTTAAATCATGAAACTCTTTTAGGATATTATATAATTGAAATTACTATATCTTCTTCGTTTTTTTTTTTTTTTTTTATTTCAGGCTATTATGGGAGGAATATTAGTATTAATTTACTAAATATTATCATTTGAATGTGAGGAATATTGATTAAATAAAATGATTAGTTATCATTAATTAATCGATTGGTTGATTGATTGATTGATTGAATGGTTGAATATATTTTTTGCTGCTTTTTTAAGACTATTGTAATGCTGTAAGTATTTCATATTTTTATAATTAATAGATTTTTATAAGTAATTTCATGATCAAAATTTTACTTCCAACTTCAAAAGCGGAACGTTAAAAAAATTATAATTAAAGGAAATGAAATATTTGCATAAATTTAAAAATTTTTACTAATAATTACAATTTTGATACAAACAAATTGTGATTGGTAAAAAATTTGAAAACAGTTTCGAACGAATTTGAAATAAATTGAGTCAAAATATGTCAAAGATACAGTAGTACGTGATCACAATTTATTTGCGTATTACTGTAACAGTAACAATCCGAAAAATATTGAAGCATATGTATAGATGTGTTTAGTCAAATATTAATTTATTGCATCTATATTTGCTACAACAGAAAAAGAAAGTCTATTATGTGGCATTTATCATTGTTTAACTATGAAAGTATCAGAAATGCATTATTTAAGCATATCAGTATAGTAATCGATGTCAATAACAATAGTAACAAAATAACAGTAATGATAAGAAGTTTGGAGACAATTTACAAATACAGTATGATGTTTCGATAACATTTATGTATGTGTTACGTAATAATTATAATATGAATCATTAGTGATATTTGCTTTACTAACAAGAAATTGATTGTTTTAAATATAAATTATACTTTATAAACTTAAAAAGAAAAGATTCATTATTTTAGAATTTAAAGAAAAAACGAATAAAAATTTGAGGGTAAAAAGTCAACTGTGAGAAAATTTGTTATATTAGAAAACGGATACTGTATTGAATGATTTCTTTGACGATTAAAATGTTTTATCATTATTATCACCATTATCATTTTCATTATCAACATCATCATCATGAAATGAATGGCATGCAAAACGATAAAAGTAGCCATGAGAAAAGTAGATATTTTTTCATTTTTCAATAAAAAATTTATACTGAGAAAATTTAAAATTAACAATAATTTTAAAATTAAAATAAACAAAATGTTAGTATGAGAGAAAGTAAAAATTTTTATTTTATTAAATAGAAGATTTTTCTTAAAATAATATCAATTAGTATCGAATCAATTGTTTAATTTTAGTTTTTTCATTTTTTTTTTTATTTAAATATTCTGCAATATATGCTAAATTAATGTTAATGGAAAAGGAAAAAATCAGCATATGTTTGTTACAGAATAAAAAAAAAAAAAATGAAATTTTTTATAGAAAAATATTTTGAAATGAATATTTTATTAATGCAATGAAAAAAAAGATAAAAATCCATTTACAGTGATAATTTTAATTCAATGCAATTAATTACAATATATTATTATTATTGTTATATGTTAATATTATGTTTACAATTGTAATAATTAGTAATTCTGATTGATATAGTTAATCATTACTTAATTACCGTATTTTGTGCTTTATCCATATTATCTTTGTAGAAATTAGCAATTATTTGCTTACATCAAACTTTAATTAGGAAATGCATTAAAATACATTAGTATAAATTAGTGATAATATAAAAAGTAATTTTACAAATTGCTCATCATTTGAAAATTGTATGCTATGCTTTTAACTGAAATTACTTAAGGAATGAATGAAATATTTGATAAATATTATTTGCTATTATTTTTAGCATTAATGCATTTGGAATATTTCTCAATGATTATTTCCTACTTATTACTTTCCTTCCGTCATTACCGCCCTGTACTATCAACTTCATTTTATCATTATCCCCATTCCTCTCAAATATTCTTCCTTTGACATTAAAATGTAATATTACAAATTGTCACCCATCAAAGCATTCCAATATAAATGACATTACTACAGATTGTTAATTCGTTTAAATGAAGCAAGTTTCATTTTATTTAGAGAATGGGATAATCCCATAGGACAGACGACAAATGCTTTGCATTTTAGATAATGCCAAACAAAATTGATGATAATTCATATGTATTATATCATTGTACTAAAATGAAATGTTCTAATTATCTAATTACTTTTTTTTTTCATTGTATCGCCTCATTTAAATATCTAAAATAATTTAAATGAAATATTAGGAATTTAAATCATTTAGAAACAATATATCCAAAAATAAACTTAAATATTACATATAGAAAACAAAGTTAAAATTTACCGCAAAAAATTTATCCTCCACTTTTTTACCGTAAGAATAATTTAATTTTAGCATTACTTTAATTTTAACATTTTTAATTTTAGCTAAAAGAGTTGGATCGTGAAACAAATTTGGATAAACAAAAAATTAGCATAATCATAAGTAGATAGAAATATTTCATAATGCAATGATTATTAATGCTAACGATTTTGATCATATAATACCTATTAAAAAATTTAATTAATACTAATAAATAAGAAAGAGGAAAAAAAAGCAAACAATGATGAAAAATTGTAAGTTTAAATAAAAACAATCATCGATAGAAATTTGTATCAGATTGAAAGTATTTGAAATTGTAAAAATTAGAATTTCAATAAAATTACTTTAAAAATTTATCGCTTAGATATATATGAGTTAAAAAAAAATAGCTATTTCTCGAATTATTTTCTAATTTTAAATTAAAATTTATTCTTTCCTAAATTATTTATTCATTAAAATTCAATTTAACTTTTTTTTTATTTCTAAATTATCTATTTATTAAAGTTTAATTTGACTTCTTTTTTGTTTTTTTTTTTACCATTCTGTAATTATATTTAATGAAATATTAAATTATCATTCAATAATATTCTCATCATATTCTAATAAAAAAGAAAAAGAAAAAAAAAAAAACAAAAAACATACTTACCGTCCACTTTTAGTAATAATCATTTCGGTGCTAAGTTCATAAAATTTATTCCATAATTCGCGTCCTTCTAAGCGACATGTGACATGTCGCAGTATATGAGAATTTCCAGGTAATGGTGATGTTTTTGGTAATTGTTCCATACTATCCTCAATTTCTTCCGTTTCACCATTATCCTTATTATTATCATCATCATAATTCTTACTTGTTCCAGCAGTAATTGTTGTTCGTTCAGATCTTTCATTCGTATCATTCGTTTCCAATAAATAATCAATCATAAATTTAAATCGTTTTCGTGCTGCCAAATCTAGTGGAATATCAGGAAAATGTCCGGATACCGGAATATTTGAATGTAATGTATCTATTGGACGTTTCTCACCTGTTTTAGCCATAATTTAGAGAGAATAATATTCAGATGATCGTAGAATTTCTGCAA